TTGGAAACAGCCTCTCTACTTTCTAGTGTAAGGTGTTTGTTGTAATGCTCATCATTTTAATTCAAATTTTTTTCATAGTTTGTGGCATGTTTGTTTTTGTTTTGTTTTGTCGTGCTATATACTTTGTATGTTGGTTGAGGTGGAGGGTCTCTTGGAAACAACCTAATGAACCTATCTACTTTAAAGTAGGGGTAATGTGTGTGTGCACTCACCCCTCCCGAACCCTACTTTCGCGGGATTCTGCTATGTTGTTTTTGTTTTGCAAAATTTTTTTTTCTCTCCATGTTTATGCAAGCTATCATTTCATGGTATTTATATGTGTAGACATGGGGCTTTGATTACGAGACATGGGTAGTACGAAGTGAAGAGAAGTATAATGGACTTGCCTTTTAACTCCTTTTTTTTCTTTTCCTATGGCGCCAGGGGCCCACACGCACTCCCTGTGCCAGAGTTGGAGGAATTATCGCCAGAATATGATGATGATGCAATGGTGGAGGTGTTCTCTGTTACAATAGGGAGTGCATTTGATGAGGAACCTTTTGAGAATGTGCATGGAACCATCAAATTCAGAAACTATGAGTTGGTGGAAGAGTTTATTTTCAACAAGGGTTTGGAAAATGGGACAAGGGTACTGTCAAACCAACACCTTGAGCTAATGACACCTAAACGGAGGCTTTTTGGCTCGGATGTTCATTTTGAAGTGGACCTGGAAGATGGAGATGGTCGTGTAATCAGTCATGGGGACGTGTTTTGGACTGAAGTTACAACTCAGGAGCCCATCGACTGGTATGGCAAGCACTTGTGCTCAATCGTCAGGGGCAACATTGGGTATGCAGCGCTCCACTATATGCTCATTACCAATGGGGTCCTGGCAACAGTGAGGGTTTGCATCAAGAGAGGAGGAAGAAACAACCACACCATCACCCCTCCCCCCTCTAATAATGTTCGTGGGAGTATATTTGCAGAGTACAGCGAGTGTCAGTATGCAACCTGGTATGACAAAGAGCACTACAGGCACAGACTCTTTCAAAGCGAAGAAGAAGTAGACATGACAATGCCTTGTTCGGGCCTCTTCGAAGTAGCACTGAAAAAATCTGCTGTAATGGTGCCGCGCACTTCTGCTTTGATAATTGATCTGGATTTGACATTGGAGGGGACGGGCAGCCCCTCGTCTTTTAGGGGCAGGCTGACATTCAATATTGAAATGGACCGCGGAAGGGAGCTGAGCATCAAGGGAAGCTGTGGGAATGCCACTGCTGAAGTGAGTGTGCTGTGGAGCCAAGTTTTTCGGGAGATTTCCACACCTAAGCATGGGGACCGCGTGCCGTTTGATTTAGACTCGGCTCTGGAAAGATCGAGGGACCAATTTTTTGCGTTTAGTCTATACGATGATGACTCAGATTCGGATACGTGGTGCAGTCAATATTTGGGTAGTCCGGTAACTATGCAAGTTCTGTCTGAGGGCATTTAACAAAAATTTCCCACATAGTTGATGCCATACCCCAATGTGGGTGGGGCTAGAGGGTCTGTCGGTTCACTTGAGAATGATGTTTGGTTTAATCCCCGCAATTAATAGTCATGATGTTAAATCTGACACTAATTTTTCTAATCAATTCTTTCTAATTTTGTGTTTTTTGAATAAAAACGTAATAGCTATGTAGATATTATTTTAAATTTTATAGAATAAGAATATAATATACTCCGTAAATATAATCTCATTTCATAATACTTGGTTCATCTTAAAATAATGTTCATGTTAGTAGAAAATTCTATACCTATTCTTAGTTATATTTATTCAAAAATGATTTCGGTCAAAAATTATAAAGCCTAGCATGAGACTTATTTCAAAATAGATGGAATGGTGAATGAAGTATATTTTCTTCCAGAACAATGCTAGGTTTGCAAACGAAATAGTCACAAACTTACTATTTATAGTTTAAATTCACATTTTAAAATTATTTTAGACTATTTAATTGTTTTTATTGAAGTTCACAAATAACAAATTTGTGAAATTTGTGACTATTTTGTCCGTAAACCAAGTATTTCTCTTTGTTCAATGATACTCTCTTCGTTCCTAAAAATTTGTCCACTTTTGACTTTTTCAGTTAAAATTGGTAAACTTTGACCTCAAATTAAATAAAAGTGATATTAGACATTGATACAAGAAGAGTTTTATTAAATTTATTATATCAAATATTTTCAAAATATTATTTTATGTAATTAAACTACAATATACTCTGGGTATATTTTATTTAATTATAAGTCAAATGTTAAAAACAGTTGACCAAAAAAAATTAAAACTGGACAAATACTCAGGGACAGAGGTAGTATTCTTTTATACGGAGTATAATTTTAAACAATATTAAATTCTTATTTTCAAATTTATTAAATTATATTTAAACTTTTATTTATTAGGTTATCATACCATAAATTTAAAAATACCTTTCATATTTGATGTTTTTTTATAAAAAATGAACTAATTTGAAAAAAATACTCAATTAAGAGGATCATTTTAAGATAGTAGTGTAAATTTGGCCAAGCAATTTTGAGTAGGGTGGACACGGTACGGTTTCGGGACGATTCCGGTTTCGAAACCGCCGGTTCCGATACCGCCACCCCTTGGTACCGGTACCGTGACCGGACCAGGCAGTACCGGTTTCGGTACCCGGACCGGCCGGTTTCGGCCACCCTCCAATTATTGTTTTTTTTGCCTTTTTTTTTTAAATTTTTAAAGTGTAAAATTGTAAATGTTTAATTTTAAAGGAAATAATAAAATAAAAAAATCTAAAAATGTAGCTGTTATTTAAATATTGTAAAATGAGTATACACGAACTGAAGAAGAACTACATTTAATATCCGGACGGTTGAAAAAAAGCGACGAGATAAATAATCTTAAAAAAAACCTTCGAAGGAGCTTATATATCATTCACCTAAAATAAACTAATACATATTTGCATTAACATACTTTCAAAAATTATAAACTAATAATTATTTATGACAACTTATTCTTTTAAAGATTAAATAGAAACTTTGAGAGCTTCTAATCGCCTTACTATAACGTAGCTAATTTGATTATATTTGTAAAGATGTAAATTAAAAGACTGATCGCTACTAATCAATGGAAAGAATTAAGACGGATCAAGTGGAACGTATAAACATTAAGTAGTACGGAGTATATGGTTGGGTAAGAATTGAGGAATAACCAACCCTGCAAACGGATCTCAAATTAATCAAGTTAACCTGTTTTAAGGAGTACAAAACCCTAGCCTTTCCTCCGTCTTCTTCTCCAAATCGGCGACGCAGACCTCTCCCCTGTCTTTCTTCTCGATCGAGACCACAGTCGCAGAGCCGAATTGGACCCCCTTCCGGCGACGAGCGCAGAGGTAGCGTGGACGGCGAACTCGGTCATCTCCTTCTTCTCCGGCGAGCAGCAAGAGCAACGACCGGAAGGCTCCTTTCGGCGTTGACCTCAGCCAGCGGCGAAGATGAACCGGAAATCCTCCGGCGCGGGGACCCAGCGCATCAACCCGGTGAGACGCAGAGCAGTTTCCCGAGGGCCACTCCGATTTTGCGAGGCAGGGATGGCCGCGACAGGTCAATACTCTGGCGAGGGTACGGCAGCAAGTCTGGTCAGGTCAACTCCGGTGGTCTTCTTGAACAACGTTGACCCAGGGCAGCGGCAAGGGCGACTGGCAGCAGCAATGTAGCTTGGGACATGGAGAGAAGTATGGGCAGCGGTACCAATTTGGGCAGTGTGGCGCGTTTTCCTGGGGATAACTTCCGAGTAAAGTTCTTTTGATTGAATCGAACCAAATCAAGGTGAGTACGTGCACATCTAGCACTAGAATGTGCATATTGAAATTACGTTCATGATTGTTATCGTGGTTGATTTATGTGATTTATCTGTGTGATTGTTGATTGTGATTTTGGGAATTGTTGTTGTTGAATAAAAAGGGTAGTATGCATGATTTAGGTGTTGATTGACGAATTAATATGTTTGATCGTGTTTGAACTGTTAATATGAACCTATTTGTGTTTTGTTTTTATGAGATTGTTGTTGATTTGATGCTGAAAGATGAAATAGGTAAGAAGTTGGAAAATTATTGCGTCAAATGGTAGGCGGTATTGCCGGGACGATATCATGCTAATGTCACACTCTGTATGCTTATGTTTCCTTTGTCAGTAGTTGTGATCGTTTAGTACCTAGGTACCGGACGGACCGTCGGATCGGTAGTGGCTACCATGACAGGCCTACAGGTTGGGTGTAGTTAGTTTAGTACCCTAATATCGCAGGACCGGTGCCCAGGTGCCGTGAGGATCGTACCCCGTAGTGTGACTGGTATCGTTTGGTACCTGATGCCGGGTCTGTCGATCCATTTTTTCGTCAATGATTGATTCCGAGACTCCGTGTGATGCATAACGATAAACATTGGTGTCTACACCAGTGTTAGGCCGCTAATATGTTGGATAAGTTATTAAATGCATCACTGATTTATGAATGTTGTATTGTGTATTGAATAATGAATGTTGGATATATTACCTAGAAGGATTCTAGGAAATGACCTGAATAGATTAGTGGTAAGATATGTCATAATTATATTAAGTTAGGAACATGTAGTACCTGCTGGGTCCAATGGCGGTTCGGGTAAAAATGTGTACACGGGGATCTAAGAACTGTCTTTCTGAAGGGGACAATTCTTAAACTGTTACCTTTTGGTTTAGTCCCCCGATTTAGTCTTCAAAATGATGTTAAACCGACACTAATATTTTCAATCGATTCTTTGAGTGTTTTTTCAATTATTTTTGGTTTAGTCCACCGATTAATAGTCTTCAAAAACACATTAGTCTATAGACCAATCTATAAGTGTTCCGATTCCATACTTTGGTATAGTAAAGATATGTATGTCAGGCTAGGACTAGGGTGAAGACTGTAGGAATGACCTTGATCCTTCCCGTATAGAGGTAGGGTTACTCTAGGAGTCTCTCCTTAGTCTCTTTCTTTTTGCCTTGGTGATGGATGTTTAGGGCGAGATTCCTTGGTGATGATATCAATGAGTTGGAGGTGTGGCGTCATACCCTTGAATCTAACTAAATATCTAGAATGTGGCTTGAGTGGTTGATTGACGGACTTCATATGTGGTAATTGGGATTGATTCATGCCTAGAAAAGAGTTTGAGAACCTTGGTTTGGGCATTCAAGCAAATAGAGAGATAGACGGTGATGTTGTTCATCGTATTGGAGCAGCTTGGACAAAGTAAGCTACTAGCTTCATGGGCCTTATGCAATAAGAATACTTCAACAAAGTGATGCCTTTGATTTTCTTCCATGGGTTGTGGCTTGTACGAGTTGAGGAGGAGGAGGGGTGACGATCATGGCGTATGATGAGAAAGGGTGGCGATCATGGCTTGCTTGGAGGGTTGGGCAGTAGCTTTCATTGAAGAATTGCAAAATGTAGAGTAAATTAAAAGTTGGATAGAATTCTAGAATCAACATCATCAAAAAATAGAATTTAATATGTGTATATATTGTACATTTATTTTTTTGAATTTTGATATCATTTGCCGGCTTGTTTGGAGACAAGTGTTATCACTTTTTCAAGTGTTATCAAATTTTAAATAAGTAAATGTACAAAATACACAAATTAAATTCTATTTTTTGATGATGTTTATTCTAGGAATCTATTCAACTTTTAGTTTACTCTACATTTTGTAATTCTTCAATGAAAGCTACTGCCCAACCCTGCAAGCAAGCCATGATCACCTCCCCTTCTCGTCATACGCCGTGATCGCCACCCCTCCTCCTCCTCAACTCGTACAAGCTACAACCTATGGAAGAAAATCAAAGACATCTCCTTGTTGAAGTATTGTTATTGCACAAGGCCCATGAAGGTAGTAGCTTACTTTGTCCATGCGGCTCCAATACGATGAACAACATCACCGTCTATATCTCCATTTGCATGAATCAATCCCTATTACCACATATGAATTCCGTCAATCAACCACTCAAGCTACATTCTAGGTATTTAGTCGTATTCGTACTCAACCCAAATCCTTTATTTTCAAGAGTATGACGCCACACCTCCAACTCTTTGATATCATCACCAAGGAATCTCGCCCTAAACATCCATCACCAAGGCAAAAAGAAAGAGACTAAGGAGAGACTCCTGGATTAACCCTACCTCTATAGGAGAAGGATCAGGGTCATTCCTACAGTCTTCACCCTAGTACCAAAGTATGGAATCGGACACTTATAGGTTCAAGTCAACTCTGTAAAATTTGTCTCGATATCTTGTTGCATGCCTCCCTCGAGATGCATTTCTTTGACTATACGAGGGTACAAAATGTTTAATAATTTCAAAATAGGAATAAGTAAACCAAATAAATTTTAGAGAGAGAAAAAACACAATTTAAAAATTTTTGAATGATCAAAACACGTGGGAGGACTATTTTGAGAAAATAATAAATTTACAGAGATGTTCAATTTTAAAAAAAATTAGAGGGTTCAAAAGAAAAAATTCGTTAATTTCATAATGATAAAAAACATATTTAACTATATACTCCCTTCATCCCAGAGTATTTGTCCACTTTCATTTTTGCACACCATCCAATACACTTCTTGAATCCATTTTATCTTGTAATTTGTATATTAAAAAATTATAGAAATTATATATTAATAATCTCTATGTTAAGACAAATCAAACAAGATCGCACATGACTATATTTAAGCTTACACATTGAGAGAATTTGATGAGTCAAAGTGCTTAGATGAACAGTTCCAAAAGTCAAAAGTGGACAAAAATAGCGGGACGGAGGTAGTAATTTTTTTATTCAATAGATGCTTAAGCTTTATCTACCTTGAGGACTAGAAAATTGATGATTAAGGTTTTATAGAATTCCCGTGTGTGTGACATGGATTTGGCAAATGCACATGGCACTTTAAAGTTTAACATGATGTAAAAAGATTAGCATGAAAAAGTTTAACATACGCTAGCTCATTATTGCCACGTTTGTATCCCATCCAAAAGAATGCATTGAAGTTAGCTAGCTTCATCACCCACTAGGCCCATCGGGTACTCATCATATGAAGAAGGATATTGATCGAGATCCCTTGGCTTGTCTCCAAACAAGCCGACATTTGTTGAGGTGGATGAGGTGTTTGTTCAAATCATAGAAGTTATCGATGCAACCTATCTGTTGCTGGGTTGGGGGGTCTCCCTCCCATTTTAATCCCAAATAAGTTTTCATGTTCATATGCAATAGGTTGCATGAATTTACTCCAGAGCTTTTTGTTTTTCCACCAAAGCTGGCTAGTTTCCATCAAGAGTTGAAGAAAGTTCCATAGGTGTTGGGTTTGCAAATTGTCTACCAGGCTAAATCGGCAGTCCACCCCCACCCCTGAAGAACATTGCAAATTTGCGGGTAATCAGATTGTAGACAGATTTACTTGGGGAGTTAAGTTGTTGCCAAAGCGTGGGAGACTTGATTTTGAAGAACATGTTTATTTTAGGAGGGTGTCGAGAGCTTCCATGAAGTTGATGATTTTGTTATCGATTTTTAAGGTGGTCTTTACAATACTTCAGTCTATTGATCCCCAAAATGAAAGTATTCTTAAGAGGCACTTACTACGTCGCCTTGACTCTTGAATGAATGATCTCCCAGGTGCAATTATGTCGTCTTGAAGAAGCTGTTGAATCCATCAGCAGCTATCCTTGTCCAATTCCTAGATAGCTTTAAAAACATCTACTTTGTCCTGAAGACAAAATAATCAATATTCACGATGATGATGTTGGGAATGTAGGAACCGATGCATTCCATGTTTGAGACATCATATTTTCTTGAAAATGTTTTGGAAATTTCCGAGACATGCTTTGCAAATGTCCTCATAGTTTCCATGAGTGTCAACAATGAGCTCTGTTTTCCACCCTCTCCCATCTGTCTCTAGTCTTTTGAATCTTCTTATTTCTCACCCTAAGATTCATTCTCACTGGAACTGTACCCTATATACCATAGAGTTTGGTAACACAAAACAATATGAGCCGTGAATGCCTTGAAGTCGGATTTTGTCTTCCGAAATATAGAAGCTGGGGCACAAACAATACTCCCTCCTATTCCAACGTATAGAAGTTTGGACAATTGGTTTTGATGGTTGTTAGTCGGCGAACTAAACTGACCATTATTTCAAATTAATGAGTGTGTGTGTGTTTATATATATATAATACTCACATTTTAAGAATTTAATTTTAAATAATGAAAGAAAACAACTAATAGTGCCAACTACCAACTGTTGGAAACTTAAAACTAAACGAGCGAGAATTAGGGTTTAAATTTGGGAGAGGGCAAGAACGAATAAGTAGAGAATTCAAGATGACCGGAGAGGGCAAGAACAACGAATGTATTCAAGATGACTCGATAGAGCAAGATCGGATGTACTCAAGATGACCAGAGAGGGCTAGAACGAATGTATTCAAGATGACCGGAGAGGGCAAGATCGAATGTATTCAAGATGACCGGAGAGGGCAAGAACGAATGTATTCTCCGGTCATCTTGAATACATTCGATCTTGCCCTCTCCGGTCATCTTGAATGCATTCAATCTTGCCCTCTCCTGTCATCTTGAATACATTTGATCTTGCCCTCTTCGGTCATTTTGAATACAATCTTGAATACATTCGATCTTGCTCTCTCCGCTCATCTTCAATACATTCAATCTTGTTCTCTCTGAAATCTCTGGTGATCTTTTAAGGTAAGCTTAGATACTCAAATTTTGGATTTTTCCTGAAATTGGCAGTATTGCTCCTCCACGAAGATCGGTCCAAATCCAACACTCGAGCTAGATCCAGGTTAGTTAATTTATGAATCACAAAATTTTATCATCTTTTTTTATTTATTATTACAGATGTCTTCTTTGTGCATTTTGATGTGGTTAGTAAGTGAAATTATTTTTGAGGAATTGTTACTTTGTTGATCTGTTTTTGTGTTTCATACCAAAGCTTCTTCTCTACTCACCGATTAGAACATTCGATATTATTGAAGAAGCACTCCTGAATAAGAATAAAAGAATTAGAAGCCTAATTCACTTAGATTCTAATCCCTTTCAATCGAATCATCTCAACCATTGCTCTTAGTTAGATTCATCTTCTAACCTTCATCTAAACGGTTTGGTTATTAGTGTGTAATGCACAAAACACTCAATTCTAATGCCCACATTCCCCTGTTTTTGGTGCAAAGATCCAATAAAAGCTGGGTTTGTGCTTCATTATTTTGTGCTTTAGCTCGTCACAAGCGAACAAAATGGGCAGTGACTTCGTTGTATTAAAATATCTTCATTGGGTATGAACCGTATGATATTTATCTTTGGATATTGAGGCTTCGTTTGGTGCACGGAATTCAAATTATGGAATTGGAATTGAGTACTTCAATTCCAATTCTGGTGTTTGGTAGCACAAAAATTATGTGGATTTGGAATTGGTAGTGCAAAAAATGAATTGGAATTGATGAATTCAATTCTATGGAATTTCAATTCCAATTCAATTCCAATTCCATCAATTCCGTATACCAAACAGATCTTGAGTGTTTTTAAGCTCACAAAGGTTTATTCTGCCCATGTCATTTGACTAAGTTTCTATTTACTGTTTTGTTTAGTTTACCATTGTAGTAGTTTGTTGTAATTAAAACCAGTTGCGAAAGAGTTTAGGGGTGTTTAGAGTAAAATTTTCAAAGGGTCGGTGAGAAAGTTATGAGAGTTTAGGGGTGTTTAGATTAACTTGCAAAGAACCTTACAGGTGACCTTTGGACTCTACCTTTTTCTCTGTGATGCATATTTATCTCTTTCTCTTTCCTCTTTTTTCTTTTTCAACGGATCAGACTTAAAGATTGTGCACCCATAGCCACTAAGTTAAATCTTTTCATTTGATTCTCTCTGGATAATATGATAGCAAGGAGAAGTTGTGGTGTGGATTTAGGGAGTTAGCCGTGTCTATATGCACAAGAATGCACATCTTTCGCTGCTTTAAAACATGAAACCAGGGGATAAGATTAAATTCAAAACTGGAAAACCAGAATGCATCCCTTTCTCTGCTCTTAAACATGAAACAAGGGGAAAAGATTAAATTCACAACTAGAAAAAAATGCATAAATTGGTGTGCAATCCTTTTTTCTCAAAATGTTTTTCACAAACATTCTAGATTATGTTCTTCTCTGTGGTAGTTGTTATCTGAATGAAGATTTACTCCAGCTTTAGGTTCTTGCAGAATAACACTTTCTTGTGAAGCTGCTGAAATAAAGAAGGCAGTGATAGTTAGAGAGTAAAAATAATAGCTTTATTGGATGCATTACCATACTCAACTTCTGTTTGACCAAATGGGGCCTAACTTTTTAAATTCTCATAGGAAGAAGATGGAAAGAAATCGTGAGGATAGGGCTGAATGTACTTCTCTTGAGAAACGATGACACAAGCATGTCCTTGGAACACCCCTGCTCGAGGTATTGTCTGTGAAAATTTTTCAACAATGATGGCTCTGCTGGAACTTGTCAAGTGTATGGTACAATCATTCTGATTGATGGAGAAGGTGCTAATTTTAATCTCTATGATCGAGGGGAGGCAGATGCTGAGACTGTGACTGTGGGTGGTTCTTTGACCCTCGTCATGCCAAAGGGACATGCTATGTGTGCATCGGGTCGGATCTACTTGCAAGTCCAACTTAATAATGCAACTCAAAGAGCTGTGTTTGCCAATCTTCACTATTGGGATTACAAAAGCAAGGATGACTAAGATGTGGCCCAAACCATGATGGTGTTTAGATCTGCCATCATCGAATGCATCACACATCGCCATGCACTCATTGCTACTGTTGACATCGTGCTATTGAGGGGACGTTTGGGGGTGGATCAAGCTAATTCGTTAAGCATCTTTGGCGATTTAACTGTTCATTCTGCTACGACTTACCCGATCGTTCTTTTCAAGAGGAGTGAAAGATACCCAGGTTGTCTTTCACTCCTCTTGAAAAGAACGATCGGGTAAGTTGTGGCAGAATGAACAATTACATCGCCAAAGATGCTTACCGAATTAGCTCGATCAGACCCCCAAACGTCCCCTCAATAGCACGATGTCAACAGTAGCAATGAGTGCATGGCGATGGCCGATGTGTGATGCATTCGATGATGGTAGATCCAAACACCATGGTTTGGGCCTCATCATAGTCATCCTTGCTTTTGTAATCCCAATAGTGAAGACCATTGACAAAGAGCACTACAGGCACAGACTCTTTCAAAGCAAAAAAAGCTTCTTTTGAAAAAGGCCAAGAAGAAGACATGATAATGCCTTGTTTGGACTCATTTGAAGTAGCACTGACAAAATCTGCTGTGGTGATGCCGCACACTTCTGATTGCCAACAAGATTCTAAACCAATTGATTGCCAACAAGATTCTAAACCAATTGATGGTGGTGTTGTTTCTTCCTCCTCTAAACCAATTGATTGCCAATAAGATTCTAACCCAATAATGGCTTTCCATACCATTAGTTGATGGTCTTCATTCTTGCAGCCCAAACCATTTTACAAAAACTAATTGAGCTACCAACCCCATCCTTAATGTCCACTGCACAAACCAAGTGAGTGTGGTATGGGTATTGCTTTAACTGAATCTGTGTTGTGGTAGACTCCTGTAGTAATCCCCTCCCCTCCCCTCTTGTTTTGTTTTGACAGCATAGTGTATTAATCCTTCAGTTGCACATAGTGGCGTGGTGTAAGTGGGGCAGCTTGACCCCACTCATTTTCTTTTCTTTTTTGCATATCCCTATGTGTATATTTTTTGTGCATCCCGCATGATCTGTTGATATTTGGTATTCTTGGTTTCTAAGTTTTGCATTCATTGTTTTCTAGATTCTATATAATAATGCAAGAGGTCCCTCACTTTAGTCTCTTTGTTTAACTTCCTTTTTTGTCTCTTTTTTTTCTCACTTTGTTTCCTTTTTCATAATTTTTTTTCAAACTTTCTTCTAGAAAATAGTTTCAAATATTTAAATTTTGTATGATATAAAAATAAATGAATTAAGGACCTTATCAAAAAAGAAAATTTGATCTCTTTTTAATTTTTTTAATTTTACTCAGTTTTTTCTTTTTTTAGAAAATTTTTATTTTTATATCATACAAACAATTTTGAATTTTCATACGATTTTATAGAAGAAATTCTAAAAACAAACACTTTAAAAAAAAGTAACAAAAAAAAAAGAAAAACAAATAAATAAAAAAAGATGAGCGATCTAAGAGTTATTATCATAAAATATTAAGGAAAAAATATTTTGGGGTACATTTATTAACGTTTATGGATGAAATATATCGCAGTCATTACAACAGAATGTAAGGACTTTGTCTTTTTGAAAATAGGAGAACCTAAGAATTATTTTGACAAAATTCGCGTTACCCGTGAGTAAGTTTATGCGTTTACAACCTAGTAAATTCATAAAGCTCAACACTCCACAATGGTTTGAAAGACATCCCATCTCGAAGAGCCACAATATATACATTAAGGCATGCACCCCTATTAAGGCGTTGGGCACCATTTCCCTCTGAAAAGTGAGGGTAGCCACGACTTAAATTATTCGCTGGATAAGGAGTTCAGCTTCGGTCACACTGATTGGGATCTAATGGCCTATGGTGCTGCTATCCTCCTCTAGGTGCTGCTACCCTCTGGGATCTAATCACCTTCAAAAAAATCTACTATTAATTTCGCAAAAGATTTTTAACTAAAAATCGAAGTATTAATTTTACAAATTTTTAAATAAATTTCGAAAAATGTAGTTGATAAATTATTTCAAAATATTTCATTGACATTTACCTTGTAAGTAATTAAATCTTGAATAAAAAGAATAACATAATCATGAACGGAGTATTTAATAGTATAAAAATAAAATTGAATGAACAAAAAACTTGAAGGGACAAACTAATTTATAAATTTTTCCAATGATAAAAAAAATTAAATTTGGGAGGGACTATCTGCAAAAATTACAATAATATATGGACAATTTAGTTTAAAAATATTTTGGTTCAAGTAGGATTATGATTGAATAGTTAGAATGTTGCTTTCATATTTTGGTGTAGACGTAAGAATTGACTCACACTCAGTGCTTAAGAGAGCTAAGTTTTGATATTTTAATTTGGTCATTCAGGCAGATGAAGAGATAGATTGGATGATGTTCCTTAATCGGAGCCATTTATGCTAAGTGAAAGTTCGCTTCAAGAGTCTTATGCGACAAAAAGATCAACATGGATAAAATGCAAGCAAAGTTTTGTTTGTCCGTAGTCAGACTAGCTATGCTTTATGAGGTCAAGTGTTGGTAGTTAAGAAAGCACACGAGATGCGTGGGTTGACGGGGTTAGATAGGTTCGAGATTGAAATTATCCAGGTATGGATTGTAGTAGAGCTTGTGGAGGATAAGCTATGTGAGGCAAGATTGAGATATATGGTCATAGATGAGAATTTAAAATGTTAGGCCCCATTTGGTCAAAGAGAAGTTGAGCATTGAGAAAATTATGTAAGACTATTTTTTGCTTTCAACCAAAATTCATGGAACCAATGTAAAACTAAATAGTATTCTTCTGATTATGTATGTGCAAACTAGAACCTCTCAAAACCTAGAAAATGAAAATCAAATGGCAGTTAATGTTTTTCATTGATGGTGAGATTCAAGATCAGACCCCAAAAGCATCCAAATTCGTTGCATTTATGGAATGTTTCATTCAAATAATACCATTATGAAGCACGGAGTATGATGCCAAAATTAATAAATAAATATACACATATAAACATATACACAAACACACACAGATAATGATGAAACATAAAGATAGATAAACGCACCGGTATCAATCTAAGATCATCTTCACAACCGCCAACTCGTCCAAAGCTGCCTCAAACATATTTTTAATTTCATAATCATTTTGAATTCTACCCTAAATCGTAAAAACATTGTTGTGACCATTGTTATAGTGGCTCACAGCTACGCTCATCTTCTTTCAGTAGGAGATCAAAGCTAAAATATTGCCTAAAATTATGAAAAAATATACATAAATTGTTATCTATGAGTTTCTGAGACGATTATGTATATTTTCTCATAATTTCAGGCAAAGAGCTTTGATCTCATACTAGAAGAAGATGAGCGTAGCTGTGATCAACTATAACAATGGTCAAGACAACGTGTTTACGATTCAAGGTAGAATTCAAAATGCTTGTGAAATTGAAAATAGGTTTGAAGCAGTTCTAGACGAGTTAGTAGTTGTGAAAATGATATTAGATTGATACCGGTGCGTTTATCAATCTTTATTTCATTATTATGTTGTGTATGTTTATATGTATATTTATTTATTTATTTAGGCATCATACTTCATGCTTCATAATAGTATTATTTGAATGAAACATTTCATAAATGCAACAAATTTGGATGCTTTTAGGGTCTAATCTTGAATCACACCATTACAATGAGAAACATTAATTGCCATTTGATTTTCATTTTTTAGGTTTTGAGAGATTTTAGTTTACACACACTTAATCAGAAGAATACTATTTTGTTTTACACTGGTTTCATTAGTTTTGGTTGAAAACAAAAAACAGTCTAACATAACTTTCTCAATGCTCTACTTCAATTACTCACCATTTTTTTCCTCCTATTTTCTCTCCTCATCCAAACACATAAATTAATTTTCTTTTATAGTGTTAGCATTATTTCAAGTACTGTGAGTCAACAAATTAATACATGCGAAAGAGAAAAAGAAAATGCCGGATTTACACCAAAAGTGTACCCCAAACATCCCCACCCCTACATCACCACACAAAAAAGCAAGAAAAATTCAAAAAAAAAATAAAAAATAAAAAAAGAATAAAATGAATGGTAAAGAGAGGGGTGGTGTACATTTGGGGTACACCTTTGGAAAGGTGTACCCCTAGCATATCCCAAGAGAAAATAATGCAAAATCAAAATAATGATTACTCGTGGTCTCTTCAACTGAAGTAGAAAAAAGCATGATTACCTCCTATTGACAATTGGAGATCATGAAGATGTCTTCTTGTGTACTCCTTAAAAAACAAGATCCCATTAGTAGAAAGCCGGAACTCGCTTTTTCTAGAGTTCTGCATCAGTCATTCCACTATCATACCTTCTACATGAAAACTTGACAGCAAAACATGTTAAAATGTGTTTTGAGGCAATTCTCTCCAAATATGACATGTATTAGTGCTAAATAAAGAACAAAAAACAGATCGAAGATGCTGCCTAGAAATACTATTCCAAAAAGATCGTATATAACGAAACCGCAGGTGGAAAATTGCTTTAAAAAACCTTGTGAAGAATCCACATCTTTCATTACGAGGAGATGTTGGAAGGATGGATTCTTGGGCGTCGGCGGCGTGTGTCGAAGCCGAATAGCACATTGAACATCACAGATCTGCCCGTCCGGCGAAGATGGCGATTAGATCTGAGAGCCTGGGAAAAGTGAGTCCCAACTGAATGTAAATCCTTCCCTTTCTCATTATTATCACTAGTATTTAACCGGTGCTTTGAACACATGTAATTTTTAATTCTGTTAATTAATTTTTTGTTTTAAGTAAATAATTACTCCGTATTAAAAAAAATAAATATAATATAGAATGTTAGATATAACATAAATAGAGTATGCTAACTAAAATTCATGTATATAAAAATTGAAAAGAATGTATAAATGTATTAATTGAAAAAAATTTATTTTTGGTATGTAAACTTTCTCACCGGCATTGTTTCCTGATAAACAATTGCACCGATAATGTTTTTTTGCAACTCTTCAAATATTAATCTTGTACCATTACACAACTCAGATGTTTGATCAATGTTTCTTAATAACATACTCCGTAATTAGTACTCTTTTCTTCAAAACAATTCTGTGGTTTGGAACCCCAGAACACTTAATATCGTTCAAAAAACTCAGTCGTTATCCAATCACCATCTATGCCTATATCTGAATCTGCTTGACATAAAGTATCAGAGCTCAAGTACTCTTTTTCATCTCCAAGAATTAGAGACAAAACAAAATTATTGATCATTTCAACGACTTCAAGCGTCGATGCTAATAAAGCTCTATCCATAAAAAATTATAATCTTTCATATTTTCCACTAAGTCTGGATACGTGAATTCCACTATACTTTGAAGTGGCGAACTTGAGTTCAGGATCAAGGATTCAGGTGGAATTTCAATTTCACCAATTCCAACATTAACCACGCCAAGCTGTCCATCTCCAATCTTGATTATCCACTCTGAAAAAAGTTGTGTGTCATTATGTGCGTGGCTGGATGAAAATAAAAGCAATCTCATATTCTTAGTCAATGTAAATACTTTACAATACGACCACAAAGTCGATGAATTCACGGTAGCTTCCACAATTTCTTCTCTTGATACGTAAAAAAAATAAAAAAATAATACTCCTTCCGTCTCCCTAAGATCTTCCCGTTTTGATTTTTTGTGATTTTTAAAGAGAGTTGAAAAAAGTTGAAAGTTTACTAAAATACTCTTGATGAAAATGGGTGGGGTGTATTAAATAAAGTGGAAAAAGTGTAATAAATAAAGTAAGTGGGGGTAGTTCTGGTATTTTAAATGTTAAAAGAGGTAATGAAAAAATCTATGTGAGACAAATAAAAAGGGCTAATGGAAGATCTATGGGGGACGAAGGAAGTAGAATGTTATAACTTGATAGTGAAGTAATGAACTCTTCTCGTATGGAAAGAGCCAAAGAGGTAATTAAGCCGGAAAAAAAAAGAAAAAAATAAACACATGTATCAAAAAAACATAACATGAATAATATGTGAGCCAAAACTCCAAAACCATTTCAATTCCGAACTGACTAAGATTATGAGAAAAAATAAAGGCATCCCAAAGTGTGTTCTATCCCCTTTTTTCACAAATATGAGTTACCCTTTTTTTACAATGAATTTATGTTTGTTAGAATAAAAAAATATACCCGGAGTACTTTGATGGATAAAGCACATGTTCAGGTTTTTATTTTAATTTGTAATGCATTAGAGATTAGCTCATTACCCAACTAATTTTTGTACTTCTGGCCTAACAAAATGTCCAGGTACTTACCATGTATTTATATGTATAAAAAACAGTGGCTTGCATATCTTTTAAAAGCAGCTAGGATTTGAAAGTCACAGCAACTGAAGGCAAATCCTTATATGTAATGCAGTAAAGGTATGCAGCAAAGGTCATTAAGGTTTCTATTTTAATTTTTAATGCATTAGAGATTTAGAGATCAGCTTTACATGTGCTTTAACCATCAAATTACCTGGACATTCTTGATGCTAACCTACTGCATTACATATATCCCATTTGCCTTCAAAGCATTGACAGTAAAGGCAAATCCTTTATATGCATTACAAAAAATAGTGACTTGCATATCATTAAGAATGCTAACCTTTACGCACGACGATGCTTTACCAACAGTGAAGGTATGCTGCGATGATTTGTCTCCAATTGAAAGTCCCAAAGTTACATCAGATATTATTCTGGAAACATGACTCAGTTTAAGGTATTTCTCTTCTTTACCTGAAAAATATATTAGAGCAGACTTGTCTTGAAACGACGACAAAGAAAATATCTTCTGAGATTCGGAAATAAGCATAAGCAAATAGGAAACAACTTTGAAACGAAGCTTGTCTCCAATACTATGTAATTGACCTTTGTGTACTCAAAAAGAAAGCACCATACAGATGTCATAATATCCCCACCCCCACCCATAATGATAACAACAACAACAATAATAATAATAAATCTAAACAGCCATTATATGTACATACACTATATATATGAAATAGCTACGTGTTATAAATTGGGGAAGTTAGAGCAAGGGGGAAAGATAAACAGTGTAAATCTAACTAATGTCATAACATTAAAAAAACTTAACTCTTAATAGATATGACGTTTCACATAACATGTCCTTCCAAAAAAGAGAATTTCACCAAAACAATCTTATAAAAGGAGATTGCTTTAAAAGCATGTGTTGCTTTAAACACTCCATCCAAGATACATAATCAGAATAGAAAGTTAATCACAAGAACCATCATACAAACTTACATTTGCCAATCGGAATGGACAAAACTTGGGTTTTGTAATTTAATCTAGCAATTTATAATAAATTCGAAATTTGAAAAGAAACCTAAATTGGAAATTTGGAACCTAAATCCAAGTTTGCAAAAAAACCTAATTTGAAATTTGGAAACAAACCTCGCTATATTCTTATCGCAGTTCTCTGATGCCGATTATATGGAATCTTTCCTTGCTGAAGAATCTGCGTAAAGTGGGGTGGAGATGCAAAAAATCAGGCGGCGAGGTAAAAATTGGAGAAAGCATATTAGTATTAATCAACCCACGAATTTATGAGAAAAAAATAATTTTCGGGTAAAAATTAGGAAAAAATTAGGATAGCCGAAAGGAAGAATGGAAAGGTGTACGGCAGTACCTGGGATTTCTTTCCTTCCCTGAAGATTCAACGCAGCGAGGAATCAGGGATGAATTTCCTTGCAAGTTTTTCTTTCCTTCCGCGAAGAAGATGGTCACGAGAAAGAATGGGTACTCGTGAGCTTCCGGTTTCATTAGACGCGTGTCATCTGATGTGTAATCAAATTAGGAGCCTTAAGTTGCCACGTGTCAAAATTTTAAACCATCAACTCTCAAATTTTATATTAAAGGATTTCTCAATGCATTTTCATATAGACACGATGAAGAAGAAGATCATAAACACTAACATGCTCAAGATACTGAAGAAGTGTCTCTGTCTCCAGCCTCTCGTGCATGCTCTTTTCAACACAATTTTTTGTCTAGCAATCTGGCAGTAGCAACAACAGCAGACCATTTTTTGTTTTTTTTAAAAAATGTCGAGAAATGGGCAAAATTAAACATTCAATCATCTGAATAATTTTAAAAACAGTCGGCAGTATTAAAAGTCATTAACAATATGCCTTCTTACTGAAAGAAACTATGAGTTTTTAAATCAATGCAAGAACAATACCATTCTCCTCACATCAAGTAAAAGAATAAACTGTCTAATACTCGAAAAACAATAAAAACAAAGGACCAAATTATATGAAATACTACATTTTTTATATTTTAACACTCTTCATCTTCTTTATTATTGATTCATCAACAACTTCATACTCATACTCCTTTTCTTGCATTATCTTAATAGGTGTAAAAGTGGACATATTATTTCCAACCATTGTTCAGATCCCACAAAATCATCTATTAAATTCTGCAACATAATGTTTGATAATTAAATATCTACAAAAAACAGTAATCATAGCAGTCAAAAGTCATACATAGGTGAGTATATGTAAAGATAAGTGAAGAGAATTATAATAACCGTGGGGTGACATTTAGAACACGACATGTGCAATGCACACAATAATACATGACACCATCTGGTTTCTCGGCTCTATTATATTTAATTTGCAAGCTAAATACCACTAATCTACATTATTTTTTACTGCAACAATGGTCCCGTACACTATATACGAACCATTCCGTTTCCATTAATACTTATTGCAGCTTAATAAAATCGTTTATATACCACCACATGATAATCACGATTCCAAGTCCTTCATATACGTCAACTTTCAATGCGTACAATTCTATAGAAGGAAAGAAATACCTCAATACATTCTCTAAGTTTAGATATCACCATCAATCGGGTTGTATCAAGCAACTGTGAACTTGTAACGTCATTACTTGTCCACTTAAGAGGATGACATCGCGCTCTAGTCCAAAATTCCTACATGTATCAATAACATACTAAAACAAAACAAAAACTTGTTTACTTTAGAATTGGAAAAATGATGATAACATAATTTTTTCATGAGAAATGTGGGTCTCCTCACATCTTTTTCATGGTCTCACTGTTGAATATCTTTCTTTTACTAAGGCCCATACATCTAATTATTTCGTGCACTAAAGTTCATAAAACGAGTATAGACCCTTAACCACTAAAGAATTTGCCTCTTCATATATAATCATGTAATCTTCTAAGTTAAATAAGACTTTCTATTATCAAACTGTAGTAGTAGCATAACCAAACTGTATTAGTTAAATAAGACTTGTTATTATCAAACTGTATTAGTTAAATAAGACTTGAGGATGATACCATCGCATTCAATTTGTTTGCTCCCAACCTCGTCGATGAATGGGAGCGCACCATTCAACGACTTCGGGAAGTACTCACGCACGGTGGACAACTTCTCAATAACAATACAAGAACAACATTTGTCGATATTCAAAGACCAGTTGCGAGACTCGACATTGCGGCATCCGAGGATAACCACGCCATCTCAACGTCAATCCTAATCCAAAAACAAGACGCTTATGCGTATTCAGTTTATAGTTATAGGTGGTGGACTTGTGAAGATACACCCTACGTGCTTCTAAATTTAACTTTTTTTGATTGTAGGTATATTGCATCTAATAAAAATGTAGATGCAGTTGGTCCTCGAACGGCATATTGAGCTGTTTTAGCTGTTGAAACCGGTATACCTGAATAACCTGATGCATTTCATTCTCATTTCAAAAATCTGTGTATGGTTTTTAGAATCGACTAGGTTTCACAAGATGTACGATCTGGTGAGGCATTCGTTTGAGACCAGTTTAGCATTGGGGCCACCATTGTGTCGACTTGACCACGTCGTCGACTTCCCAAGTTTGACAGAAATCATGTATTTGTCTCAAAAACTCATAAATAACAATTTATGTATATTTTCTCATAATTTCAGGCAATATTCGAGCTTTGATCAACTACTGGAATAAGATGAGCATAGCTGTTGTCCGCTATCACAATGGTCAAGACGACGTGTTCAGGATTCAGGGTAGAATTCAAAATGAGTGTGGAATTGAAAATAGGTTTGAGGCAGTTCTGGATGAGCTGGCAGTTGTGAAGATATGATCTTAGATTCGATAAACGCATCGGTATCAATCTAAGATCATATCTTCACAACCGCCAGCTCATCCAGAACTGCATCAAACCTATTTTCAATTCTACACTCATTTTGAATTCTACCCTGAATCCTGAACACGTCGTCTTGATCATTGTGATAGCGGACCACAGCTATGCTCATCTTATTCCACTAGTTGATCAAAGCTCGAATATTGCCTGAAATTATGAGAAAATATACATAAATTGTTATTTATGAGTTTTTGAGACAAATACATGATTTATGTCAAACTTGGGAAGTCGACGACGTGGTCAAGTCGACACAATGGTGACCCAAATGCTAAACGGGTCTCAAACGAATGCCTCACCAGATCGTACGTCTAGTGAAACCTAGCCGATTCCAAAAAAACCATACACAAATTTTTGAAATGGGAATGGAATGCATCAGGTATGCCGGTTTTAAGAGCTAAAAGAGCTCAATATGTCGTTCAAGGACCTATTGCATCTACATTTTTATTAGATGCAATATACCTACAATCAAAAAAAGTTTTTTTTTGAATTTAGAAGCACATAGGGTATATCATCACAAGTCCACCACCCAGAACTATAAACTGAATACACATAAGCGTCTTGTTTTTGGATTAGGATTGACGTTGAGATGGCGTGGTCGTCCTCGGATGCCGCAATATCGAGTCTCACAACTGGTCTTTAAATATCGACAAATGTTGTTCTTGTATTGTTATTGAGAGGTTGTCCACCGCGAATGAGTACTTCCCGAAGTCGTTGAATGATGCGCTCCTATTCATCGACGAGGTTGGGAGCAAACAAATTGAATGCGATGTTATCATCCTTAAGTATGCTATCGGCATCCACCACAACATGAGGCATTGCCCTAAGGCCGGCAATACAAACAAAAATGTTGAATCAAATTACATACTAATTGTAATAAGAAAAGAAAATCTCAAATTCAAACTAACCAAGCATGATTCACAATTTTTATGTGCTATTGTATTTCAAGACCAAATAAGGCAAGACTTAGCAAAATCTAAACATTTAACAATTCAAAGCAAAACCTTGATAGAGCTAATAGATCCTTAGCTCAAAAAATCACGAGCAAACTAACTAGGAACACCAAAAAAATCCATATAAGTATTACTCCCTCCGTCCCCCTAAGATGTTCTCATTTTGACTTTTGGTGGTTTTTAAGGAGAGTTGAAAAAAGATGAAAGTTTACCATAATACCATTAATGAAAAATGGGTGGAGTGTATTAAATGAGATGGGTGAGGTGTAATAAATAAAGTAAGTGGGGGTAGTTGTGGTATTTTAATTGTTAAAAAATGAAATGAGAAGATCTATTGTGGACAAAGAAAAAGAGCTATTGGGAAGATCTATGGGGGACGGAGGGAGTAGTTGATAGCAATAAGTAACAATCTAGAGCCAAACCTTGAGAAAGCTAATAAGCCAGTAAGCAATAACTCAACAAATTAGGAGCAAGCTAACTAGAAGCTCCCAAAAAATCTAAAAAACAATATGCAAATTGCTTTGTAGTTGCTAATAACAATCATTAATAATCCATAATAAGATCTTGACAAAGATAATAGGTCAGTAGCTCAACAAATTAGGCGCAAACTAACTAGTAGCTCCCAAAAAAATACATAAAACAATATGCAAACTAGTAACTAAAAACAATCAATAACAATTCAGAGTAAAACCTTGACACAGCTAATAGGCCAGTAGCTCAACAATGTACAACTGAATGTTTTTAACATCATTTGGCAGTGTAAATCTTGTAAGCTCTCAGTGCAAATATTCTCTATTTATTCACACATTCAAAAATATTCAGTTTTTAAAAAAATTGTGCATGAAATTCAATTACATAGATCAATTTAGTCAAAGATTAGTTTCTTCAATCTTCCATAAAAATATGATATGGCTTTTATACAAGAGGAGAACAATTTAGTCAAGGATCAAAGTGAAGACCTTATTTTTAGGCTGAGGAAATCAGTAGTCATTCTTTCACGTGTTGGGAAAGAGCTTGCGCACTACCAACTGTACAATACCTACTTTAAATAATACCAATTACTTGGTATTAGTTATTTTGCAAATAACTACTGGTTCAATCTTTCCCAAATGGTCTCAAGTGCCAATGACCTTTTTCTCAGTCAAAAAATCTTGGAAAATTGAAAAGAATCATTAAAATTGTATTGATCAATCTCCTTTAAATTATTTCAACTAACGATCGACTTAAAATCATGCTAACGATGGGTTCAGTCTTTTTTAAAATACTCTCATGACTTATTCTAACAAGTAAGATTTCATTTCCATACTAAAAATGGTAAAATCATTAGAAAAGTGTGGCTACATATAAACTAAATATGAAATCCAAACTTTTGAAAAAAGAACATATGAATTCAGAAATTTAAATAGAATGAAATGCATCTCTTAAACCAGAACTAAAAAGAAAGGAAGGAGAAGCCTGTGAAATGGTGCAATAGAAAGACAAACCCCTGGATGCACTTCCACTTCCAGAAGCATGGCAAATTATGAACTAAGGTCTTTGAAATGGGCTTAATAAACCCCAAGGGTGGAAATCAAAACATCAAAGAATACAGAGGCTGACATAAAAGAATACCTAAATTTCAGGCAGTGGTTGTGGAATTAGAGATCAGAGGCAAAGGAGCACAAGCTCCAGCTTCGATGCCAAACACCTAGATGAAACAATGGGGTTGTCTTCTCAATGCTAAGAAGTCTTGACCCTTCCCTTTGTTCGATCCTTTATCAATCTACCGCTATCCTGTTTTCATCAGTGTACCCGAAGGAAATGATTTCTGTAGGGAGGGGGTAAAGCCCAAAGTCTAAAGCCCTAGAAAATGAAGAGGGATTATAGATACGAAGTTAGAAGAGGCTGTAAGTAACTATATATATTACTCCGATTGAGTTGGTGCATTTGTGTGGGATTGTTACACCAACTAGACTCGTACCCGTGCGATGCACGGGCTTTTAATTGACATATAATTAGTCAATGTTTTGAATAAGGAAAAATGTTACAAAAACCTGAAAGATTATATAAATTGAAAAAATAGAAAAAAGAAGAGGAGTTTTGGAAGTGTTATAAGTTTTGAAACACCTTTTTGTAAATTTCATTCGTAATTTGGTTACATGAAGGGAGGTCTTTATTGCAAATCAAAAAAATTTAATTTTAGAGTCAAGTTTCTTTTGAAGATCATAAAAAAGTTTTTTAAAAAATGGAAACATGCATATAATGCAAATTTTAAAATGAGAAAGAGGAAGGGAATTACATACCCAATTCCCAAAGATGATCCTTTGGGCTTGAATGATTGTTTTGCCACACAACAAAAGAATAACCAAATCACCCTTCAAACATTACCAAGCCATTCACAATCAATCTCAAATGTGATACTAAATCATGGATAAGTTGAAAACAACTTTTAACAATATGCTAGTAAAGTTTTCCATCACCCTAACTTTAAGATTTCAAAAAGCAAGAAACAAAATACTTAGGTACTAATAATGGACCTGCAAATCTTCCAGATGACATATATTTCCAATCAAAAGCAATTCAACATTAATAGTATTAAATAAACTTGTAATCTTAATACAATCTATCATTCTTAGAGTTTAACAACAATTAACGGTACGAACATACAATGGCCTTATCTCATTGTGCAAAGACTGCTCACGACAAACTAACCTGCGGTGACAAAGAAAAAAATAAATAAATACTTCTTATATCAAAAACTTTGTGCTCCTGGTACATTAAGAGGGGTGTAAATTCAAAGAAATGTTTTGATATAATAAATTCATGAGTTAATTTAATGTGCTAGCATGATAAGTCATTGGCAACAAAAGTTGTAGTTCATTACTGATAAAGTACTTCCTCTTTGTAAGCCAAGTCCTAATAGTTTGTAATGTTCACTCTTCAGCATTAGAGGAAAGCCACATCCAAAAATTAAGAAAAATAGTATTTTATGATTAAAATTGGTGCAGATGAGAAAACTATAAGGACCACAGTTTTATTCAAAAGCACAAAGTAAAACCTTTCTTTTAGGACAAAAAAAGTAAAACGTTTTTATGGGACAAAAGTAACATATACAATGATACTCTTTGTTTTTCAAACTTGCCTGCGAAACTAAATGAACAAAAAATAAGATGTATCATTTATTAAACAACTAACTCAAAAAAGAATGAAGACATTAGCTTCATGTGTTATATTTCAAATATTGTCCTTCATTAACACTTTTTTGGGTCTATTCAAAAATTGTATGGAACTTAATGTCAGAATACTCTCATATCAATTAAATCAAAATGGGTCGATTCAAAACCATAAAATCAACTTTTTTCTTACATAGGGGCCATTAGTTTAAAAACAAAGCCATATCCTCGTTGAAAAATAAAAAACAAAAGATCTGGTATGATGATTCTAATTGTAAAAAAACCACACATAAAGAATAGAATAAATCCTTACCTCAAGATTCGTTGGAAGAACTGGTAAAGTAGAAGAGAGAACTGCCCAAATTTCCCTTTCTCAACACAACATGGTTTATCTTATATCTTTAGTTCTTAAACTGAACTACCCTAGTGTAAGTTTAAATCATAAGGGAACAAAAAAATGGTACCCCAACAACCCCACACACAAATCTGATATAGAGCAACATAGACAAAATAGAGGATACGCAAATATAGAGATGGAAAAAGACCAAACATAACCTAAATGTTTTACAAAGAGAGGATACGCAGAAATTGAGCAAACCGAATTGAAAGCACAGGTAGCACGAAGGTAGAGGCTCAATCTTATCATGGAGTAATGTGTGGTCCGGTACATCTAAAATGAGTGAGTATGCAGGAAGCTTCACCAGTTTTTTTATCCGAATGTGCGGTCCAAATCTCACGGGTACTGTAGCATATCAAATGGACGGGAACACTGTTCAAAACACCCTCACACTATTGTATATATAAAGATTTAATTGGGACACGTATAGTGCTTCAATTATAAAATTGATTATACATACATCCTAAGCGCCGGTAAACCCATCATACCTGGCACGTCTCTTACTCACGCTCTTCAATTGCACCATTTAAATTTTGTTGATTTTATGGTTAATTTTTTAATTCAAAAAATTGGGAGTGCGTAAGTGACAAGCCGGGTATGGGGGTTTACCGGGGGTTAAAAGGTAGGAACAGTCGATTTTAAGAGTGAAACGCCAATACTTACAATTGGTTTTATGAGTTAAGCACCAATAGCAATAAGTGTCCTAATTGAATTAGTGTAACAATCTTACACCAAATCAATTGGTCCAAGATTACCCATTCGTAAAATTGATTGAACCTACTCCTAACTCTGCCCGGCTCTAATGCACCCCCCCATTGCACAACTTTTCATTTTTTTTGTTTATTTGTGGTCAAATATTTGACCAAAATGATAAGTATTGCAATTGGAAACACATGGAGTGAGGCCATTCACTGCGGCATGAAACAAAAAATCAATATCAAACATAACGAAGCTCAAGCCCACCTTATTTGAATGTCGTTCAACTCCAGACTTCTCGAGTTGACCACACACAAAGCAAGTATAAATTTGGATACTCCATCCCCTTTTGTTTGAGGGAATCATCAGTAGGAAGAATGCCCCTTAACGCCCTCCAAACACAAGCCATAACATCCACAATTATCCTCAATCCACAAAGCCTTGAACATAATTAGCCACCTCCATGATTTGTCGTGGGGATTTTCCTATTTAGTCCTTTATTATCAAATATTATTTCAGTGGTCCTTTTTTATGGGTATCTTTCCACAAATAGTCCTTTTTTGATCTTCTATCGTGTTGGTGTTAACTTGAGGGCTAAAAGTGTAATTTCACAATAATATATTTTTTTTGTCATACACAATTCCAAAGGTTGTTCCGTTTGCACTGTTTGTGAATTATATTCGTTTTCTGCGTGCTTTGCAAAGGCGCCATTTTACGGTTTTTATGTTTAGACATCGGGGTTTTGATCTGAGACATGGAATTTGAAAAGAAGTAGTAATGGACTTGACTTTTTTTGTTCTTATGGCTCCAGGGACTTACACCCACTCCCGGTCCCGTCCCAGACATGAAGAGATCATCACCAGAAGATTATGGTATTTTAATGATGCATGGAGGTGTTCTCTGTTTTGATTTGGAGTAGTATTAAGAATAATGGGAAAGCTTTTGAGAATGTACATGGAATCATCAAACTCGTCAAGTGCCCGTGTCCGGACGAATTTTTGTTCAAAAAGGGTTTGGGCAATGGGATAAGGGTACACCCGAACGAACATCTTGACATAAAGGCACCTGAGCTGAATATTGTTGGCATCGATTTGAATCTCGAAGTGGACTTGAAAGATGGAGATGGCCGTGCAATTAGTTATGGCGAAGTGTGTTGGGATGAAAGGTCGGTTGACTCGCCCATCGTATGGTATGGCAAGCCATTGTGCTCAGTCATCCGGGGTGACATTGGGTATGCAGCACTCCACTACATGCTCATTCCTGATGGGGTATACGCAACGGTAACGGTTAGCATCAAACGAGGAGGAAGAAACAACAACAACAATGCTCACGGGAGTATATTTGCGGAGTACAGCGAGTATAGGTACGCAACCTGGTATGACAAAGAGCACTACAGGTCCAAACTCTTTCAAAGCAATAAACCCCATATCCTCGAAAATGGCAAAGAAGAAGAAGACAGGACAGTGCCTTGTTCAGACTCATTTGAATTAGCCCTGACAAGATGTGCTGTGGTGGTGCCGCACACTTCTTGCTCTGATAATCGATCTGGACTTGACATTGGATGCGCCGGGCAACCCTTCTTCTTTTAGGGACAGGCCGATATTCAATATTGATATGGGCCGCGTAAGGGAACAGAGCATCAAAGGAAGTTGTGGCAATGCTGTTGCTGTTGTGAATGTGCTGTGGAGCGAAGTTGATCCGCCTTTCAGGCTTAGGGAGAACGGCGGCAGCTCAGAGGTGGAGGAGGAGTACTTTTGCAGGGACTCGGATTTCGGGTTCTGTCTAGACGACGACGAAGACGACTGCGGCGACGTCTCAGATTTGGGATCCGGTCAATATTTGGCTAGTCAGCCAACTATACAAGTATGAGTCTGGGGGCATTTTAATAGTCTGGTATGTATGTGTATGTACAAGACAACAGACTAATTTAAGTCTTTCGTGCTGTGTATCACAAATTCGGATATTATTTGTGCTGGTAGGATGAATTTAAAATCTATTCATGTTCTTTACCTATTTTTGTTACTTAAGTAACAACGTATACGTAAATTTTATTGTGATGAAGAGGGTAACAATTTTTTTCCAAACGTGTACGTGATATTGTATAGTGTGTAATTTGTGCTAGATTTGAGTTCTGATTTGATTTATGTGTCTTGATTGGCAAATGAGACTTACTCAAACTGTAAAGAAACCCTGTAAATGTACACTCAAACTCGTTCATCTTGTGACGAAAATGTCTTTTTGCTTTTAGTAGCTATTGTTACTTAATCGTTTTCACCGGCTCCATTCGAGTATATGTGGTCTAAACTATTCTTCGTTACCAATTATCAGCCTATAGAGACATTAGCTATAGTATGAAGTATTATAACATTATTATCAAATATCATTACTCTCTTGTTACCATAATTCTACTTTGATTTAGATTCTTCCTATTCTCTTTATATGTACGATTGTAATATTCTTCATTGATTAAAACTAGCTATTATTAGTGTATCAATAACATACCAAAAGAAAACAACAAGTAGTTTACTTTAGAAGTGGAAAAATGATGATAACATAATTTTTTCATGAGAAATGTGGGTCTCGGGTCTCTTCACATCTTTTTCATCGTCTCACAGTTCGTGCATTAAAGTTCATGAAACGAGTATAGATTCTTAACCACTAAAAAAATTGCTTCTTTATATATAATCATGTAATCGTCTTTATTCAATAAGACATGCTATTATCAAATTGTATTAAACTATTAGTAGCATATTATAATTGAAACACATATTTGTTTATAAAACGTATTTCGTTTAGTTCAAAAGTGTTTAAATTTAAAAAAAGTAACCCATAATAAAAGCAGAACATAAAGAAATTACCAAAATAGAAAATTTCATATTTTTATTTCTAAAATAAGAGTTTGCACTGTGACAATGTAGTATATTGTATACTTGCATCCACAATGTTTTTTTTGTATTACATATTGACACTATATATCTTATTTTGAAATAAAAACACGAAACTCATATTTTGATATTTTCTCTATGTTTTACTCAATTCTAATATTTTAATCTTAAATTTAAAATATAAGCGAGACATAACGTCAAAATTATATATGCAATCTTGGTGTCATTGGATAAATCTTGTAAAAAGAATTATGATATAATATTTTTCAAGTATTTATTTACGTACAAAATTATAAATAAAATAGACGTTGCATTAGAATAATTAAAAGAAATAACTTTTTAATATAAAAAAAATCATACTCCGTATAACCTAATAACGCAGTATTTCTTCCGTGCCATGGCCACAATTCTAATGAACAGTTTTCGAGTAGAAATTGTAGTGAAAATTGTAACACAATCTAATGAAAAATTTTGGATGCTGATTTACTATCTCGAAGGAAGCAAAAATGGAAGAATGAAAAGGGTAAAACATTGACCGAAAAGTATAATTTTTGTAGACGTATAGTGTTTTAGCAATTCAAGTCATATATTGGACCCTCCGCTCCCTTACCGAGCAAGAACTTTTGAGGCATTGATAATGCTTAAGGACCTGTTTGGGAATAACGTTAGAAATTAGCATTTTATGGTGGAAACTGAATATGAATCTGCCCTCCATTGTTTGCTCCATATTGGGTATTTTTGGTTTGGAGAGGAGACGAGGAAAGAATCAACACTCCCCTTGTTTGCTCGAAAAAAATCTTTGAAAAACAAAACCACACGATGTTCTCAAACGAAACAATTTTCATTCCCCAAAACTCATAACTAGGCAAACTATATAGACCACTGACCACTCCAATTGTACTACTAATGGCAGATATTTTGTATTCAGATAATTTGACTCGCCTGAGATCCAGCCCCAATGCCAAAAATATTTGGCTAAATAAATAAGAGTTGAATAAAGAAAGGGTGAACACATTTCACAATTACAAAATGGAAAAGGCCTATATATATTCGGAGTAAATTTTAGTCGTACAGCGTTTTGGCGAATCGAATTCTCTTTAACTTGACTTCGCTCTTCAAAACTTTTTCCTCTGATTTCTCTCTTTTTGCTACGGCTTTGGCTATCGCTTTCTTCTTTCGGGCATTCTTTTTCCTTTTCATTTGCACATTCTTAACCTTTCTGCAGCATAAGAGCACATGACATGAGGAACTAGTAATAAACGAAGATCCAACAATGCAACTAGAGTAGGAACCAAAGTTCAAATTTTGACACACAGAAGAGACAGTTGGTAAAGCTAAAGACTCTGGTAGCATATTCAAATGTATTACCACAACAAACGGGACTTAAAATATAAAATCACACTCTAGTGGGTTGTTCAATAGGGATGGGAGCGAAATGAGTTAAAATTCAATGTAAAGAGAAGAAACTGAAGAATGAATGAAATGATTCAAACAACAACAACAACAAGAAACCCAGTAAAATCTCATTAAAAGTAGAACCCGTAGAGATTATAATATCGTGGGAAAGAATTTCAAATCCCTCGCCCAACAAAACCCGCGGCAAGTCTAACATTACGTAAACTAGATTTGTTCTTAACTTTGTCATGGAAGTTTCTTTATGTTACGTCGTTACTAAGAGTAAAGGAGCTATATCACTAATTAAGCGATTAGCCTAATTAACGGTATTCTTTGTTCATCAATAACGGCCTAAACACCATATACTCTATACATGAATTGCAAGTATCAATCAAAGTACTGAATTCTCCATGTTATAGCATTAAGGGATGGTGACATTTCAGAAATTTTGTAAAATTTCACCAGTTGTAAAAAAACATCTCACTTGGGAAGATACATTAAATATAATAATTATGAGATGTTGGAAATTCATAGCTAATGCGTTCAACAGATTATGCTTTTCTTTAGACTGTCTTCATTCCTATTTCACAATACAAAGCTAATTAGTTGATTCCAAACAAAACCAGTTATTTTCAAATCACTTTCCATGAAAAACTAATAAACCCCAAACAAAAACTGGTTCTGGAAATCTATAACTGAAGCAATCTGATTATTTCAGATTTCCCAAACACCCTGTAAAAGCATAAAGAGCACAAATATTTTAAACATATAAATATACCACGCAGTGTTTTTTATTACTAGTTTAACTCAATCAACACCGAGCTTATGATAATAAAATGCCTGCAATAAACAGATATTTAGTACTGACGTGTGGATGGCGGTGGCGGACGGCGTCGGAGCAGCGGCCTCGGAAGTATCCATGTCTGAGACACCTATTCAAAGAAAATAAAATCAATTTCAAAAGGTTATATCGTAGACACTTTTGCAGAATGAAGAGAATTTTTAACAGGGAGCGGTAAGAATCTGATGCGAACTCGAACACGGAATCGGGGAGTGAAGTATGTACCTTGAAAGACCTTCTCCGTCTGGTTTCCGGCGAGATCCATCGGAGCAACGCCATTTTTCTTCTTCTTGTTTCTGTTCTTTGCCATTGTTGCGTCGGATGAGAATTGGGGAAGAATCTCTCGATGTAGCCCTAACTTATGACCTATAGATCAACCCGGTTTGTATCTCCAGCTATAAAAAACCGGTTTATATCCTAGGCCGGCCCATCCCAATTTTTGCTCATAGGTGGGCTCTATAGTAAAGTTTAGGTTCATTATGATATATGGTTCTCTTCGATATTACAGTGTTCTGTTCGTAAAATTAATACGAAGTAACTTTCACTTCCGATAAATTTCTTACTCGAGTCGATTTGAATTCACCACGTCATCTCGTTCACTTGCATAATCCAAATTTTAAAAAACCCAAAAAAATATTCTCACCACAAAGGTAAGTTTCAACTCAAAATAGTGCATAGATCTGAATCGTTTTTCCAAGCAATGTGAACCAAGTTGAAGAAAATAAATAGAGTAATGTTAGAGTTACAAACAAAACATTCACAAAATATACAAACTTACCATTTCTGAATTTTAGTTTTTCTTTTTTAATTATTTGAGACTATTATTTGATGCTACTCCCTCCGTTCCACAAAACCTTCCTCTTTCGTTTTTTTTGTTTTCCACAAAACACTTCCACTTTCTATTAAGAAACCACTTTTACCCCTACTTTTTCATACCCTACATATCACATCATACTTTTTCACTAATAACCAAACTACCACATCTTACTTTTTCCCATCACATCAGGGGCAAAATTGGAAAGTCAACCAAAATTACAATTTCCTTATTTTTCCCTAAAGTCAAAATCGTAAGGGATTTGTGGAACGGAGAGAGTATTATTTTACATATTTGGTAAGTTTGTGCATTTTGTGCATATTTAGTTTGTGATTCAAATAAACATGGAGTACGTCTAGCAAGTTACATCATACGGAATAGTATCTTAAAACATTCTCAGTTATCTTCAACGAAATTAAAAATAAAAAAAAAGTATGTGAGTGACAACACACATGCCCTCTATGTTCCAAATAAGATTAATTACTATATCTATTTACGAGGTAAAACCCTACAACTTTTTAAATCAATTTATTTATAAAATGATACTCCCCCTCCGTCCAATAAAGATGGATACATTTTGATTAAAGTAGAAATTAAGAGAGTAATAATTTTGTGTTGACTTTCCAAAAATTTCTTTGATGTGATGGATAAAAGTATGATATGTGATGTGTAGATTATTAGGAAAAAGGTATGATGTGATAGGAAGAGTTTGAAAAAGTAAGGGGTAAAAATGATTTTTTAATAGAAATGATAATGGATTGTGGGATGCAATTTTTTTGAAACGTGTAAATCTTTTTGGAACGGAGGGAGTATAAAATAATTGTATTAAACATACTTAGTTCATATTAAAAACTACGTCAAAAATTCTATAAATTACAGAGTATATAAAAAGTAATAAGAATATTTTATCAAACAATCAACAAAATTACACAAAGGTGGTTGGAATGTTTAACCACATTTCCATTCACATTCTTGTCATCTAAATTTGGGTAATTGAGAGTGTTTCCACTCCTTTTACCACAACAAATTTGGCATTAGTGAAATTGGTCAGAAAGCATACAATATATCTTTGGTTTGAATCTGAATTGATCTTTGGATGGGAACTATAATACATGAACAGAAGACCATGATTAGCAGATTAGCACTAGTTGAAGTTTTAATCAAAGTGATTTATCTGATTATTAACACATTTGGTGAGCCAATCAAACAGATAAACACTTTGTTCATTCTATCTATCCCTCTGGGCTTGATGCAAAATTAATGGGTTTCCTATGATTTTGTTTTGTCCTTAGGAAGCCCCATGTTATAAAGTCTATATTTGCTATAATAAAAAAACAATGACTGGTTGCATATGCATGTGAAGGTATTAGTTGAAAGAAACAAAAAGCTTTAAAGAGGACAAATAAATCCTTATACATTAACTAACTGCAAATCTGATTGCATACAACAACAAAAAAACTGTCAAGGAACATTTATGTATATACCTAATTTTGATCCCTAAAACAACAACAGCAACAGCAACAAATCTTGGACGACAAACGAACCGTGGCAAACACCAGATTAAATAACAAAGTTACGGCAACTAATCAATTAAACGACGTACACAAATGATCAACGAGAAGTAACGAAAGAATGGCACGGTCATTTGTCATACCCTAACGAGCGCGAGCCACAGCTCTTCATTGACCCGACAGCTCCAGACTTGGACGACCAAACCCTCTGTGAGCCGGAGGCGCGTGAAGATCTCCTTCCACTTCTTGGTGATGACGAGGGAGACGCTGCTCCTCCTCCCCCTCCCCTTCCTCATCACCCACCGCCGCAGGCTCACGCCGCACCGCCTCAGGGAGGGGTCCACGAGGGGCACGCCGTCGATGGACCCCACCCTGCCCCCCTCCCTCTGCATCAGCACCCACTCCTCTTCCTCCCTCAGGAACCCCCTCCAGCTCCCCACCATCCTCCGCACCGGCATCGTCAGCCTGCTTTGGTTCTTCCCCACGTCGCTCGCCGTCAGCGCCTTCTGGATCAGAAGCCTCTCCTCGGAGACGACCGCGTCCGGCCCCGCCAGCTCCCGGATCCGCCGCCTGAACGCCTCTGGCAAGTCCGCCGGCGCCTGGCCTTGAAAGTCGTGATTTTGGACCCTTTTCTTGATCGTCTTCTTCTTCACTTCTTCTTTGACGGCGGGCTCGGGAGAAGGTGTTACCCTCTTGCTTCTATTATGGGCCGCAGGCGGAGTCCAGGGCATGGCGGCGGCGGCCATCTTGACGAAATCCCTGTTGTTGATGTTGCTCCTGACTTTCTCCAAAACCATTCTTTCCCGGAGAGACTTGGCGGCGGGAGTGGCGGTGTGAGGCTATTACGACGTCAAGAGCAGCCTTCTCCACCTTGTTTTCCGCTATAGCGACATCCGCTAGTAAATGCAGATTGGCAGCGAAGTCCACGGCGGCAGGTGGTGGCGTCATCGTCGCCGCCGTCTTCTTCTCTTCCAAGCGTGAAGCCAATTAATTAATGTTTATAGTTTTGGTTGCAGGGCACAAATCCTAATGGGAATCAAATTAGAGTGTTCAAATCGGACAAGGATGGCCCCAAATACTCTAATTATACTTTCTAAATTCTTGTACGAGTATTAATTCGTTAAATATTGATAACTAATTTTTAATACTCCGTATTTTTTCACATCAATTAATTAAATAAAACTGAAAAAAAAAACATTAGAGAAGAGCTAATTAAAAAAATTAGATATATTCTCTATATAATTAGAAAGGTGGATTACTTGGTTTCCAAGAAGCAAATTTACACTACCACGGCAAGATAAGGAGAAGTTAGTTAAAGTTTCCCAATAGAGTTCTAAATCTTCCTTAACTAGACAACTCTCACCTCACTAGCTCCTTTATAAGTTTAATTTAGGAAAAATTATTTTAAATAATCTCACATTTTCTCGCTTTTTAAAAAATAATCCCATTTTTTCGCACGTTTTGGATAGAAGCTGACGGTCACTTAGCGTAACTTTTGTAAAACGTCTATTATTATATGGCAAAAATATGAAAGATGAGGGTATTTTAGGTAAATTTACTTTATCATTTCTAATTTTTAATTTATGTTTTTTAAAAATATAACAGTACACTCTTGTTAGATATTTGTCTCAATTTAAAACAAATACGATTTACAAGTTTTGTATTTGGTTTTCAGGGAAAATATAATACTCCGTAGTAAATTATCAAAAAATAATTCAGAGTACCGCTCGAAAAAGAAATTACAATACAAAAAAGTTTAAGGGAGTTATAAAAATAATTAATTCCGTTTTGGAGAAAAAAGTGGTGTGTCATTTTCACAACTTTAGCATTGTTGTTTTGTGAAAAACATTTGTACTGAATTATCAAAAAAATCAGAAGTTTTATAGTGCGGAGTACCATTTTGGAACCCTTTTCATAATTTATTCAATTAAAATATATACACTTTAATTGTTTTTTAGTTTTAACACTTTTTTATTTTAAATCAACATGGAAAGGGTTAATTATAACGCATTCAAGCTAAGGTTTTTTCTTATTTTCTGTAATCAATTACTAACTCGTACTAAATAATTGTCCAGTCACCATTTAAAATGTCACATATTAAGCTTCGTTGGTAGTTTGGAGTATTAGTGTAAAATTGAGTAATTTTTTCGAGCAATAGTGCTAATTATTCTATTTTGGAATATTAACATAGAATCGCAAAATATTCGTGAAAATTCTTTTTTTATATTTTAAGTCATAGAGATGAGGTAATTAAAAAAATTAGATATATAATTAGAAAGGTGGATAACTTGATTTCCAACCCAGAAGTAACACTTAAGTAGTCGAAGTTGAAGTTTCATACCCCGGAGTATTATACTTCTAAATCTCTTTAACTACACAACTCTCACATCACTCCTTTATTAGTTTAATTTATAGCATCTATAGTCACACTATTGGTTATTCAAAGAAATATCAACACGTACTATTTGTAATGTTAATTTTGAAATATATACTTAACCTATATATTTTGTCCGTGTCACAGAATTTATCCAGTTTTGATTTTTGAAAGTCAATTAATATAAAATGAATCTTTGACCAATAATGTATTAGAAAAAAAATCATACGGAGTATGATCTAGTGACTAGATAGAGTAATAACATGAAAACATTTTACAAATTCAATCTAATAAAATTATTTTGTAATCAATATTGAATAGTATTTTTATTTAATTTATAGTTAACGTTTGTTAATTTTGATTACAACAAATGAAAATTAGACCAACGGTCTGGGACAGAAGTAGTATTTGGTACTCGATCTTTGTTTTAAATTTGCATTTTAACGAAATATTTTTTTACGTCGATCCCTCACTTCTTAAAACATTTCCATTTTCTATTAAAAAACCACTTTTATCCTTACTTTTTCTTACCATATCTATCACAACATACTTTTTCACTAATAATCTATTCATTTTATCTTAATTTTTACCCATCACATTAAGGGTAAACTTGGAAAGACAACCATAAATATACATTCTTTGTACTCCGTATCTTCTAAAAATCAAAATAAGAATCGTTTTATGAAACGGATGAAGTATAATTTATATATATATATATATATATATATATATATATTCAAAGTAAATACGGGGTAACAAATTAAACTATTGAAATTTGCATTAAATAGAACTAAAACATAATGACTTTCCTAATGTAGGACTTAAACTTTTTTATTCTCTAAATAGGACTTAATAATGACCTAGTGGGAGGAATAATGTCCAGTAATGATGAACATTTACTTGTATAATGACTACTTCATAATGACCAAAGGTCCTACATTGGAAAATAAAAACATATAGTCCTATTTTGGGAAATCATTATATTTTAGTCCGGTAATTTGAATTATAACTCCGTATTGACTTTACACATTTAGAAGTCAAACGCATCCTCATGAGGCTTAGAAGAAGTCAACAAAGCAGTGTATAGCCTGAGGCGATCTTCTTCCACCGAGGTGCTCCTCGCCGGCGGCCTCCGTGGCAGCATAAACGGCAGCGAAGACAATGTCGACGGCTGCGGCCGCTTATAACGCCGCCACGCCAGCTGGATGGCGACGGCGGCCCAAGTCCTCCACCCGGGGGAATAGTATCTCGCGCTCCTCCTCACCCTCTCGCTCACGAACGTGTGCCGGAAGTGCTGGGTGACGTACTTGACGTCGTCCGCCTCGAGGCCGAATGCCTCGGTGGTCTCGAAGGTGACGAGCGTGAACGAGGATGGCGGGAGCCGGCCGGCGGAGTGGCGGCGGAGACACCAGGAGAGGAGCTCGTCGCCGGTGAAGTTCCCGGGGCCTAACATGCAGAAACTGCTGACGTCATCCCGGAGGTGTTGGTAACATTCAAGGTGGCCTCTCACTATGAACAACATTCTTTGCACTGGGTCACCCTCTCGGGTAATCTATTTTAACCAAATCAAAATAAAAGTGGTATTTCCTCCATTCCCAAAGATTACCAAAATTTGACTTCTTTGGTCATATAATATTTTGACTATAAATTATACTACCTCCGTCCCATTTTATAACGCCTGTTTCGGTTTACGATGTTTGACTGAAATTATTTTCAAACCATTTTATATGACAAATGGTATAGAATTAAAAAATAAAAATTACATATTAAAAAACTACATCAAAAGATCTACAAAACTAGTAGTGACAATAATATTTTATTTTATCAAATTGCTAACGAAAATAGAGAAAGAAAGTGAATGAAGTTTGACCGTGTGAATAGTAAACAGGCATTATAATTTGGGACGGAGGGAGTATATATATATATAATTAAATAAATATTATAAAAATTTAATTCGAATATATTAAAATTATATTTTACTAAATTTACATTACAGCTGAACATAATTTTCTTAAATTTATAATTTAGTTGTTGCAGAGTTTGATGAAAAAAAAGTTAAAAGTGTAAGTAATTTTTTGAAGAGTGAGGAAGTAATAAGTATATAAGTAGAGGTCAGTCCTGAAATTTTGTTGGATTGTCACTTCATAATACAAACACTTTGTTTGCTTTAATTAATTTGAGAGAAAAAAATAAATGCTTTTCTTGGTAAGGATTCCTAAGGAAAATAATTGGAAAATAGTTTGTAGTTTGGTCAAAAGGGAAAAGAAAGAAAAGAGGAAGAAAAAACTTTTTAGAAGTTAAAATGTACCAAAAATAGAAAAAACTAAATTCTTCTCATTTGGTAAGGAAAATGAAAAAAAACGAAATTACTTTGGTAAGGAAAATGAAAAAAAAAACGAAATTACTTTGGTAAGGAAAATGAAAAAAAAACCTTTTTTTTGTTTTTTTTTTTTGCAAATTATGTCAACTAAATTATACGAGTATTTATTAACTTACGGGTAATAGAATAGATGAGTTCTGGTAATTAACTTACGGTTTCGCCCTTGGTCAAGATGAGGGTCTTCACACGGTCGCATATGTGTTCAAGGACCAAATTATCCATATGTTGGAACAAAGGTACCTGAAATTTCACTCAACCAAACCAAGTTAATAATTGCTCCCTCTACTTCATTTACTTATTTTTGTTAACTTGGTAAAATAACATAGTCATGACACCTCTAATTTTGAAGATCTTTTAATGTAATTTTTAAATATATTAATTTAATTTTTTAATTTCACACCAATGTTAATATAAAATTAATTTAAAATAACTTCAGTTAAACATCGCATACGAACTAGAAATTAAAGAACTTGAAGGGAGGGAGGGAGTAATATATAAGGATGTCTCATTTTGATTCACTAAAGAAGTACTCCGTATTGCTTAATATAGACATGTCACATTTTGAATCACTAAACAAGCACACTGCTTTGTCCATAAACAATTAAACATATCGTCAAATCATATTTTTTTTGTTAATTATTTTTATTGGTTGTTTTGTAAAAAGATCTAATTTCATTATGCAGCACCCCAAACAAAACTAATACCAATGGTATAAAATAAAGTTTGATTGGCGTGGTTGAAATACTGTAATAATATGATAGATGAATATAGTTTTTATACTTTAATATGTCTCCTTACGTGCAAGTAAAATTTGTTTTTGCTTGAATCTTGCATGCAAACATTTCTTTTAAAATAGGGTGGCAACAAAGTTTGACCTATTGGTCATTAAAACTCTTATATCATGTCAAAAAATCAATTTAATTTAAAGTTCAAGTTTATGATTGCAAACAAATTTCATACTTTAGAAGCTAAGTATGCATGCATGTTAATTATATATATACCTGCCTAATCAAGTCGAAGCAGAGATGAAATTTAATATCTCTCCTAAGGCCTTGGGGCAGATCTCCTATCATTTGGCGCTCATCCACGCCGCGCATCGCCGCCCAGCGCTGCCGCTCGTAGTTCCTCACTCTCTGCCTCACCTCCACCGGCAACCCCCGCCTCTTCATCCACCCTTCTATGCTTCTCATCCTCAAATGCATCGCTTGCTTCTTT